CAAAGGTGCGCCATATCAGTCCCCCAATTTATACTTCATCATGTGTTGAATTTTGCTGTCATCATGCGTTGGAGCTGTGCCTTGCAGTTGTGATACTGGTTGTTAAGAATCAGGATACCTCAAGAAATCATAGTTCTTCTGACGGGTCTTTCTACCAAGGGCATGAAGGATTCTGCCAATGAATTGTGGAAACTTGGTATCTGTGCCTGCCAAACCAGATGTACCAACAGTTCACAAAGGGAACTTGATTCATGTCGGAACTGTCAACTACCCAAACATGCAAGATAATGGGGAGATTGTCTACTGGTGTTTCAAATGCAAGGAGGGTCCAAGCTTGACATGCCCTGCTAGAGTGAGAAAGGAGAGGATTAGACTGCAAGAAGAAGCTGTGGAGGAAGAGGGGATAAAGGTCAATAAGGCAAGAAGAAACCTAATCGTTTACACTAAAAACTCCCTGTAAAGCAAACTGAAGCTACCAGACATGATGACAAAGATGATTCCTCAGAAGAAGAATTGGAAGAATCTTCCAATGTCAAGAAGAAGTCTAACCAATCAGCCAAGAAGACGCCAACTTCTCAACCTAAGAAGAAGTCAAATGTCCTAGGTTGATGTCAACTGAAGCAAGTGAGCCTGATGATGAAGAGGATACCTCAGAAGAAGAAATAGAAAAAAGGTCCAGGGCCAGGTCTTATCCTCAGAGACGTGTGCTTACCACATCTAGTGACACTAGTTAAGACAATAGCCAATCTATTCACAAAATTGTTGTCCAATGTAGTTATAGAAATAACAAAAGTGAAGAGGAAGGTCCATAGAGTGACACAAGTGACCAAATTGAAGAGGAAGACCAACCCAATTGTGCAGCTGGTAGTAAATGCAAGAATGAAAGTGATGTGGTTTCTGGAAAGTACCAATGTCGAGTACATGACCTGGCCATGCATCAAGATTGTGGAGATAAATGCCCATGTCCAGATCCCAAAGGCAGATGTGGCGTTAGATATGGAAATAAGTGTGCAGCTGAAGGTTTGTGCAAACCGCAGGGATGTGTGTTGGACTTCCTTGTCATTAGTCATTTTCTATTCTACCTTTATTGAATGAAGCAATCATTACATTGGACCTATATGGTCAGAGTATAAGCACCATGATTGTATCCACAAGACCATCAACTGGAACATGCAAACCTATGGATGAATTCCAGTTCCACTAATCAGAGTTGCCCAGGTGACAACCAATCCCTCACTGTTGCTTGTCTATCCATTGAGGAAATAATTCTATTTGACCTATACTGTGGAGGAATAATAGGTAAGAATGGCAGTCAAACAAAATCTTTGACCACAAAGAAGCATCAGCTGGAACTCCTAAACTCATCCAACAATTTCAGTTCTACTCATCAGATTTACTTCCCTCCATCATGTCTCAATCACTCACTGTCTCTGTGTATTCATTGAACTAGTCATTATATTTGATCCAGAGTGTGGAAGCACATAGTATGCATGACAAGCCAAGAAAAAAGAAAACAAACATCCACTGAAAATAATAATCTCACAATCATAAACTTGTCAATCAATTTCAGACTGCATGTCAGATTTGCCCCCATCGTGACCCAACCGCTCACCATTATCCATGAAACCATTTGAGTAATCATAGTAGTGTTCTACTCATCAGTATTGCCTTGGCCATTACCCAATCGCTCACCATGACATAGATATTGATATATGTATTGGTTGATGGGAACAATCATTATATTGAGCCTATATGATGGAAGCACATTGTAAGCATGACGATCAATCCAAATTCCACAACAAGCATCAGCTAGAACTCACCAACTTGCCCATCGATTCACATTCTACACATCAGCATTGCCTCGGCCATTACCCAATCGCTCACCATAACATAGATATTGATAGGAACAATCATTATATTGGGTCTATATGGTGGAACCACATTGTAAGCACGATGATTGATCAAAATTCAACGACAAGCATCAGCTAAAACTCACTAACTTGCCCATCAATTCAAGTTCTACTCATGAGCATTACCTCAGCCATGACCCAATCACTCACCAGTATGTATTGGTTGATGGGAACAATCATTTTATTGAGTCTATATGGTGGAAGCACATTGTAAGCATGATGATCGATCTGAATTCAACGACATCTTCAGCTGGAACTCACCAACTTGCCCATCAATTCAAGTTCTACTCATCAGAATCGCCTCAGCCATGACCCAATCGCTCACCAGTATGTATTGGTTGATGGGAGTAATCATTATATTGGACCTTTATGGTGGAAGCACATTGTAAGCATGATGATCGATCCAAATTCCACAACAAGCATTAGCTAAAACTCACTAACTTGCCCATCAATTCAAGTTCTACTCATGAGCATTGCCTCAGCCATGACCCAATCACTCACCAGTATGTATTGGTTGATGGGAACAATCATTATATTGAGTCTATATGGTGGAAGCACATTGTAAGCATGATGATCAATCTGAATTCAACGACATCTTCAGCTGGAACTCACCAACTTGCCCATCAATTCGAGTTCTACTCATCAGAATCGCCTCAGCCACGACCCAATCGCTCACCAGTATGTATTGGTTGATGGGAGTAATCATTATATTGGACCTTTATGGTGGAAGCACATTGTAAGCATGATGATCGATCAAAATTCAACGACAAGCATCAGCTGGAACTCACCAACTTGTCCATCAATTCAAGTTCTACTCATCAGCATTGCCTCAGCCATGACCCAATTGCTCACCAGTATATATTGGTTGATGGGAACAATCATTACATTGGGCTATATGGTGGAAGCACATTGTAAGCATGACGATTGATCAAAATTCCATGGCAATTGAAATTGAATTCAAACATGAGTTGAAAATGTGATAAGGCATCCATCAATGCTCACCTTTCCTAGGTCTTTGCTGACTGTTCAACGGCAGTATGGAACTTGATCACATCTTATCACATGGATCTGCAATGAGTCATTGCAAAGGAGCATTATCCAAAAAATTGGACTGGACTGAGATGCCAAGGTCTGTTTCTTGACTTGGGTG